GTCCCCGGCAGACCCGGGCGAGGCTGCGGCGTGACTCTGCTCTGAGTCACAGCGCGAGCGCCCGGGCCCTGCTCTGGGCTGCCTCCTTCCCGGCGCAGCGACACACGGCGGCCTCCTGCTGCTGCTTCCTCCGGCTTAAGACGAAGCAGATGATGCGGCAAAGTGAGGGCTTTGGCAGAGCAGCGCGGGAGGCAGTGGGTTCAGCCTCGGCTGCGTGCAGAGCGCTCCCTCCCTCCCCGAGAGCTGTGTGTCACTGTGACCTGTCACCCGCTCGCCTTGTCAGCGCGCGCTGATGCCGTGGGTTGCACCGCAGCATCAGTTCAGCATTAGGCATTTATTTTCCTGTCCGCAGCGGAGTGGGCGATTTCATCTAGTTGTTTTCCAGAGCTTTGATTCCAGGCGCCAACTCCTCCCAGCTCCACAGAGTCACGTCCCGTGTTTAGTTCCAGTCAGTGAAGCAGCGCAGGTGAACTTCACCAGCTGCTGGTGTCCCAGCCGTGTGTCCTCCCCAGGGCTGTCACTGACTTCTGGCTATAAGGGACGGGCGGTGTGCGCTGTGGGATGACACAGGACGCAGAGGGTCGATGCAGACGCTCTCCTGGCTGTCCGGCAGCCGAGTGCTGGTGTGTGTAGAGGCCTCCAGGCTGAAGCCAAACAGGCTGAAAGCTGTGGTGCCGCAAAGAGCAAAGGTAACAGCCGTGTTTGTCACAGCTGCTCCTTCTCGAGTATCCACGGGTGGGGAGCGAGCACGGTGCTGCCCGGTGCCACCACGCGGGTCCGGCTCTGGGCCGGGACGGAGGGGGAGCCGGCAGAGGAACGGGGAGCGGCTCTGCGGCCCCGGGCTCCCCACACGGGGCTTGGGGCATAAAGCTGGATGAGTGTAGGGTGTCAGGCCTTGGTGCATCATCGTCATCAAACAATAAATCGTGGTGTTTGTGCATGCAGGATTGTGTTTACATGTGCTATGCAGCTCTTCAACACCCCTCTTCTCTGTCAGCCTGTCTTCAGTACAGCTGCAGAAAGAACAAATGGATTTAGAGTTTGGAAGGTTTTCAGAACAGTTTGGTGGTGGCCCTTCTGCTTCTCCCAGATGTTTGGCCCTCTGATGTCTTTGGGCTAACAACAGCCCTGCTAGAAGTGCTGGAGCTGAATTAAAAGTGGCCATGGCCTGACTCTGACGGACAAGGGGTGAAGGAGGTGCCCATTGAAGTTTTGGTGTGATTAACCACTCTGCTCTGTTTCTGGCTGGTGGGCCGTGTCATCAGCTGCCTTTGTCTGCAGCCTTGCGGAAGGGCACGGCTGAACCTCTGCTCTAGCTGGGGACAACTGCAGGCCTCTTCCCTCTCGAGATCTGGTTGTTATGGCGCAGGACGGCTGCCAGGGGCCCCAGTTGCTAACAGGATCCTCCTCCGGGCGAGGTACCTGTGTGCCCGGGGCAGGGGCATTGGGGCTGGCACAGGCTCTGTGGCGGGCGACGGGTCCCTGACTCGCTTGCGGTTTGTTCCTGTGCTGGAGCTTTCCCAGGCTGAGCTCTGGCAGACCCGCTCTTAGCGAGCCTGCCCGCTGGCCTCAGCGAAGGGTCTCAGCGCCTCTGGACCCGGAGGGAGGCGAGTGCAGGAGCAGCAGCAGCAGTGCGGGGCAGGCAGCGGCGTCCTCGCTGGGGAAACCGCCTGGGGACGGGGCTGCAGCCTGTGCTGTGCCTGAGCCAGGGCAGCGTCGGGGGCTCTGAGCCTCGCTGGTAAAATACACCTAGCCGTAAAAATAAATCAGAGTGCCTTCAGTTTTGGAGCAGAGCTCTTGAAGTGTTCTTGCACAGAGATCTCCCGTTCCGGAATGCAATAAAACAAAGTCAGCAGCTGGAGCTACCTTGTTAAAGTAAAATTTTCAGGAAACACAAAGCCCATTCTTTGATTTTCAGCTTTACCTCCTGCTAACTTAATTTGAAAGTAGTTATTCTTCACTTATAGGGAAAGCACAAACCAAAATCAATTACCGAATTTGAATACCCGTGAACATTTATAGAGAGCATCTGACTTCTGTCTGGTTAGTTTGTTTTTTCGTGTAGGGTTCAAGTTGCTTCTGGTGCAGCGGAGTCTGCGCAGTTCTGCTTCAGAAATGAGGACCCGCTGTGAGTAACTCCAAACTTTTAAAAAAAATCCAAAAACTTTGCTTCAGCTTAAGCTCATGGATTTCAAACAGATTTCAAAATTGAATTTACTACAAGGGTCCATAGTTAGGAAAAAGACAAAGGATTTGGCACCTGAATTTAAGTGTAAAGTGAGTCGGAGGCAGAAATATGTGATTAAAAGCTTCGTGAGTCATTTAATAAACCAAGCGTGGGTTTCACAAGCCCCTGTGGTTTTCATGCTTATTCTTTGAGACTTTCATCTTGGCCTGAAGCAGAGCTCCTTTGTGATTTTTGCAGGGCCCAAGAGGCTGCGTGAGCGCTTATCCGCTCGGAAATGGGACAAGCGTTCCCCCATCTGCATTCAGTGGATGTGCAGCTCTTCCTAGCGCCCGCCTGTCTGCGCTTTAGTGTTTTCTAGTGCTCTTGACTTTGTCACAGCATTTGCCCTCTTGAGTTGTTGGTGAGCTCCCGGGGTGGGGAAAAACCTGCTGGTCCCGTCGGTGGGTGTTGAGCAGGGCCACGTCTGGCTGCGAAGCAGCGTGTGCTCCCCGCAGAGCCGACGGGCTCGGCACCGGGTTGGCCGTCTGCCCTCACAACGGTGGGCACGAGCATCTGTTTGGCCGCTCTTGGCCGCCCTGGTTTAACCCTTGCTGCTACACCCAGCCCCTCCTGTTCCAGCAGACCCTCTGGGGCCACCCGCTCTGCCTGTCGCACTCCGGCAGCGTGGAGGCTCTTCTCACCGCTCACCTTATCTGCCAGTCCCGCGTAGGTTTGATTTCAAATCCTCCCTTCCTGCTTTTCCCCTCAACCCTTGCACTCCTCCTCCCTCCTCCTGTGGAAACAAATCTACGGTAGGTGTCTCTTGAACTTGCCTGAACTCCTTGTCCCAGGCACCTTCCAGACTAATCCTTTCCAGATGTCCCGGAACTTTTATGTTTAGCAGTTTTACTCAAGTTCCTCACTCATTCTCGGATGGAGCAAACATTACATTTCCTAATATTATTTGAAAAATAAGACTCATCGTGGCCTTCTGAGAAGTCGTTGCTGCCAGTGGTTTTAAGCACCCCAGCAGCCTTCTACCCCCGTACTGGAGCACAACAGATAGTCATAAATAGCACGGGAGTTTTGTTTTCCGTAGCTGCCTGCTCCACGGCTGTCTGTGAAGCCTTGAACGCTCAGCACTGCCCTCACACCCGGCCAAGTGGCCGGGCTGTTGGCTTCCAATTTCCCAGCTACAGCAGCATGGAGAAATTAGGAGATCTGTCCGATGTTCCTCTGACAGTGACCCAACAACGGAAAGCAAGTTTCTCTGCCCATCCTCTCATCTAGATTCCAGCATAACTTTGGTTTTGGGGAGGTGACTGTGCCTGCAGGCAGGGGATACGGTCAGTGCCCTCGTTTCTCGTGCTCTCAGGTGACCCGCGCATCCCGCTCGGTTGCAGCCTCGGGGTTTGTGTGTAGAGGCCGCGTTTGGGGTGGGCCTCCGGGGAAAGGGCTCTCTGTCCTCCCGGAGTCCACCCGGATGATGGGATTTGTAGAACTGGAAGCAATGCCTGAGCCAGTTTACTATCCTGGAGGCTGCCTCTCCAGCACAGCCTCTGGCTTGCCTTGAAGTCACGTCCTGTGGTTCCCCATGTGCATCCGGTGGCTTTTCGTCCTTCCCGACTCCGCTCCATGTGCAGGGAGCCTTGCGGTGGGTTTTGGCTGTTGGAGAGAAGCTTTGGGCCGTTCAATGGGACTTGGGAAATTCCTGTCTTTTTCCTTCCATTTGTTTTTGCTTCAGGACTCACCTGGCACGTTACGTGTTGGCGGTGAGATGCCAGTGGTGGGAGAGACCTTCCCCAAGTTCAGATTCTTGCTGTGGAGCGGTTCTGTGCCACCGGCAGCCTGGGGTCCAGGAACGGGTACGTGCCAGGAGGACAAACCTGCTTTGTTGTGCCGTGCTCCCGCCAGCTCCACAGCTGCCATCGCCTTCCCACACCAGCAGCGCTTACAGAAATACCAAGTACATATTTATTTTCACAGCCAAGCGCGCTCGGCGAGGCTCGGTGGTCCTGTGTGCCCCCCCCGCTGGGGGCTGACCCGGGACGGCTCCCTGCTCCTTCCCCCCGCCCTCCACACCGTCCTTAGGCCACCTGGGGAAGGCAGAACGAAGCGCGCCGAGCCGGTGAGTCTCCCAACCCTTCTGCTATGTGAGGGAGATATCCAAGAGCCTTTGCACACTATTAATCTTTTCCAATTGCTAAGAAAGCAAATGGTCTCCTCCTGCTCCCATAAATTCAACCTCTGTCTCCTGCTTTCCCCCCAGTGTTTGAACTGTTCGCCAAGAGCTTTATTAAAAACTACAAGACGCAGTTTTGTTTCTAACTGAATCCCAAACAACTGTGTTAGGTGGAGAAGAAACACTTGGTGCAGTCAGCTTTAGAGCGTTTTTGTGTGTAGTCCATAGCCACTTGTCAGCCAGAGGCCGGATTCGGCGCTGCCCTGAGCAGAGCGGGCCCTTTTCTCCCGAGGTTTGAAGATGATTTCAAGCTGCTCAGACCTCAGGGGCTCGTTTCCAAAAGCACCTGGCAGCGGCTGCTGGGAGTAACGCGGGCGGTGGAGCAGGAGTGACACTCCCGGGGCGGCAGCGGGGGCCGGTAGCGCCTCACCCTGCCCTGGCTGTGCGTGGCCGGGGCTGCCGCTGCGCTTCGGGACGACGCTGTTCCCTGCGACGTGCCGGCGGCCCCAGAACGAGCTGTGCTGGGCAGCTGCCAGCTCCGGGTGGCTTCCTCGCCCCCCCTTTCCTGCCCCCGAGGGGGAGGTTTCTGGAGATGCCGCGGCCCTGGCGGCCTGTCCCCTTGGCACGGCCCCGGCCACTGGCACCTCGGGGAGGGGTGGGCCCGCAGGTGATCGTCCCTGGCTCCTGCGGTGAGCGGAGACGAGTCAGCGACCGAGGGTGGCTGTGGGTGTGCTGGGACACCTGGGCGAGGACGCGGGGACCCGGGGCGGGTGGCTCCGTGCAGCACCGCTGGCGAGCTCCCCGCCAGCTGCTGTGCGTCACCGCCGTTCCTTGGCACCGCGCGCGGTGTGTCACAGCCTTCTCCCTTTCCTTTCCTAATGTTCCCTCAGTCTGAAAGCCATCAACTAGTGCTGAGGAAAAACATTCGCAAAGGAAGCCAAAGCAGAAGTAAGCAAAGCTGTTCCTTTGGCTGAATTCCTCCAGCTTGCTGTGTCCCGCTACTTCTGAGCAAGAGTCTCTTCCCGCCTCGTGCACCTGAGCCGTGGGGAGGGGACAGCAGCGACAGCAGTCCTGCTTCTTGCTTTTGCTGGCAGAGAACATCACATCCCTGCTTTGGAAATGGCTCCCTTGTAATGCGAGAGGAATCATGATTCTGGAATAACCTCTTATGCTTTTTCTTGCCTTGGGAGAAATAAATCACCATTGTTGACTACTTCTCTTTACTGCTCACCCTGAGAAGTGGGTTCACCATCTCCTCCTCCTTGTGGAGGAACTGAAATGGCCAAGAAGTTTCAACAGAGCTGATCTTGAAAGCAAAACAGAACATCGGGGTCTTGCCCATCAGGAATTGTAAAGGTCTCGCTGGTTTACAGAAGCTGCCCTAAAGATGGTCGTTAGATCCCTGGCTCTGATGGTCCCTCCAGGCTCTTGTGGTAATAGGTTAAATCCTGGCTTCGTCTGCCGTCTAGGATGATTTTTTTGCAATGAGCTGTAGTTGGCTTTTCTGTGGTGTTTGGTGCTCAAGGAGCCTGGATGTTTTCACTCATTCCTGGGCATT